GATGGAGAGGAAGGAGCCCTTTGAATCCAAACTTCACAGAACAAATCCTTTTATTGAGGAGATTTGATCTGTGAAGTTTGGATTCAGTCAAAGGGCCTAGAGGGCCACACATGACCCTGAGACCACAGGTTCCCCACCCCTGGACTCTAGATGAAACCACAACACTAGTGGTATTCTGAAACAGTCCTCAGTATTACTATAGACAAGGACAGAAGAGGGGTTGGAGGCCTCTAATAAAGCTCTGCCACTCAGGGCTCAGCCTGTGATGAGCATTAAGGTTATGTCTAGGGTTCATCCTGTGACTAGAGTCAGGGCTAAAAGCTCAGCCTGTCACCAGGGTCAGGGCTCAGTCTGGAGCTGGAATCGGAGATCAGTCTGGGCCCAGGGTCAAGGCCTAGTAGGTAGTTAGGCCAGGAAGTCCTACAACATTAGAGAAAAGAGCACAGAAGGAGGAAGGGTCTGCGTTTCACCCTACTGCCACCCTGCTAATAAGACCTCAGGCGTGGTGCCATTAGATCCAGTTTCTCATTGAGAGAGAGAAAGCTTCCTTTCAGGAACTTAGACCTGTTTGATAGAACACTTTAATCCAAGGTGTTTCTCACAGTCCCCAGCCTTACCCTCCTGACTCTCCCTCCCCACTTGTCCCTCACTTTCAGCCCAGGTGACCCTTTGTTGCCCTAGCCTGTAGTGGAGATGCGAAAAACATACTCTTTGTGAAGTCCAAGTATACTATTGGCAGCACTGCTGACAAATTAATCCCTAGGCGCCAGAAAGCTGGGAGGAAGACCAGTGCAGGGCAGAGCAGGGATGGGCAAGACAGGGCTAGGCAAGGCAGAGACTGGTTCCCAGGGAAGCTGCCTCAGAGTGCCAAGCTTGCTTTTGGGTATGGTTCATTCTGATATTGAAACTGGTAGCTTTCAAAAGGCAGAGTCTTGGTTCAAATTCCCCCCTGGGTATCCTTCCAGTTTCGCAAGTTGGGAGCAGGGCTGGCCCTAGACAGTATAAGCTGTGTACAATGTGATATCCATTTTCCCACCCCAAAATATCTCCCTCACTGATGCTTAAATTGGCCCCAAGGGTAGAATGAGATACTGAATTTCCCTCCTTGGTAATGCTGCCTTGGTCTGGGTCCAGCCACATACTCTGGTGAATGGAAACCAACTCAACCAGGGCACTAGGGTCCCAGGAAGTGGGAGGTAGGGAAAGCATTGTCAGTCCACGGTCCAATGGCAGAAGGAATGTTTGTGTCAGTTTGGCTCCCATTAAATCAACCAATACAACTAACTGGTTTAGAGACCTCTTGACCTTTGGTCTTCTGTGTCAGTCTGGATCAGGAGAGGCCCAATCTGTCTCCCTGTTCCTCTTATGGCTGAGAATGTAGACCCATGGAAGGGGACTCTGACCTCCTGGAGAAGCTAGATAAAGAGAATGCTAGGTCCATCAATTCCCTTCCCCTAAAGGCTTGCTTTCAACCAATCTCACATGGGATGGAATTATTCTGTGGCATTGGCAAATACAAGCTTGGCCCTAATGTCTAGGAAGAGCCCTCCTAGGAAGAGGCGGAGATGGGTTACAGGAGCAGGGAGTGAATCTTCTTTATGTGTCCTCAGTGGAGTACCTAGAACTAGGCTGTCTGCCCAGTGCTTGAATTCAGGAGTCTTGACAGTTTTCGTTTTGTAGATAACCTCAAAAAGACCTGGCTCTGTAGTGCCCTAGTTGTCTGTGGCATAATCTGCCTGCAGCATGATCTCTACATGTCCCTCCCCAGCTCAAGAAGCTACAGGCTTCCTACTACCTTCAGGGTTATGGCCAAGCTCCTCTTGGAGCTCAGGGTTTTCAAGGATTCCCCTCTGACCCTGGACAGTTACAGGCCACACACGCAGACTCTCAAAGGGACCTCTGCACTCCAGCCTTCTTGCTGTTCGGCTTGTCTTTCTTCTCTACACCTACAACTCATATGCATCCTTCAAGGCCCAGCTCAGGTCCTAACCTCCTTCAGGAAACCTTCACTGGCAAAACCCACCCATACTCTTCTTTCTCTACCTGATTGTTGCACACTTATCTTCTTGAACCCCTCCGGTGATAAGGAGCTCGCCATGCTATGAGACAAGCTGTTCCATTATTTGGAAATTGGGATTTAATTGTTAAATCAGTAAATAAATACAGGGATTGAGTTCCTAACTGAAGCCCTGTTATTGGTTTCAGGGTGAAACTGAGATTGTCTTACTGGGATGCCACCTCCTCTATGAGGCCCTCGCTAAGACCTCAACTGACAATAAGATCTTCCTCCTCAAATTATCCTTGAGTTCTTTCTGTGGGGCTCTCTTTTGCTCCTATCATGTGTTACCTTCTACTGTACTTATTTATGTGCAGGTTGTATCACTTCTAGTAGACTAAGTTCTTTGAGGCTAAGAATTATGTAAATTTTCTTTCTTTACTTTCCTTTTTTGCATATTTACCATGAGTATAGCTCCTTGAATACAGCAGGGCCTTAATAAATGCTAGTTGTAGAATGAATAAATAAATAATGAATGAATGAATGAATGAATGAATGACTCTTAGAGGATTCCAGTTGGAGGATCTTCCCCTTCATTTCAGGGATTCAAGAGAGGGGGCAAAGCTGCAAGGGTGCCAGCTATCAGCACAGCTGCTCCACATCTGTATTTGGACTCTGGGATTGTCAACACAGCTGTTCTGCCTTGGCCTCAGAGCCCTAAAAGTTATTTTCCCTCCCTGGGTGTATGTGCAGGTCTTCACTGAAGGAAAGGAGGAAGCAGACTATCCTGGTGACTTGGGTGGACTTGGCCCCAGTGCAGGCTTTGCATAGTACAGTGGAAAACACCTTACCAAGAAGCTTGGGTTCTGTTGCTGACTGTATGTGACCTTAGGCAAGTCACTTTCCTCTCTAGAGATTGGAGGAGGTGATCTCTAATGTCCCTCCTAGCTCTGACATTTTTCTAAGGTCTCTTCCAGCTCTGACCCTCTCTCTTCTGAGGTCCGTTCTAGCTCTGATGTTCTATAATTGTATGAAAGTAGGGGAGAGAGGTACCACTAGGGGCATACTGTAAGTTCTAAGGTCCCAGGCACTGAATTAGATATAATTTAAGCCAGAGTGAGTCCAGGCCACCAGAACCAGGAGGAAAGTGGAAAAAAGGCCATAAGTTGAAATATTGGTTGGCTGAGTTGACCTCATAACATCACATAGTAACCTGGCAGATACATGTCCTGGCTCTCTAGAAGGTGCCCACTGTTGGGGATGCTCTAAGTGGAAATGAGGCTGGTTTTGACACTGAGTCACTCCCCACCACTCACTCCTTACTGCAGTCCCCTTCAGCATTTCCCCTACCCAAGGCCTCATTTGTAGTGGTGGCACTTGCTATCTCATCCCTAGTTATTCCCTGGCAATAGTTATGGAAAGTGGATGGCAAAAAAGTGGGAGAATAATAGAGCGATCCTTGGGGGGAGTGAGGGGGCAGAGGCTAATTCTAGGTGGGAAGGGCCATCCTTAGAGAGTGTGAGGGGCCTCAGAGAAAAAACACACCATTATTGCTGTTCCTACTTCCTCAAATAGCATAGGTCCAATGGAGACCCAAGGAGCCCTGTGAAGGAGAAGGCTGTCTCAGTAGGTCAGTCTAAGGGAATATGGAGGGTGGGCTGGAGAGGGAAAACGATGACTCTCTGACTTGCCCTACATGAGCCGTGGGTATTTTTAGTGCCAGCTGGAGGAGCCCTCAAATGCTGGTCCATGAGCTGACTCCAAATATGGAGGTAGGCAGTATGACTTGGTGCTGGAGAACATTGAAGAGCAAGGCCTTCCTCCTGTGGAGCATTAGAACAGAAGGTAAGAAGCGAGCAAGACGTCCTGGGAGGCAGTAATGTGGAGAAATCCCTTTAGCACAGGTTGACCTTCAAATAGAAGCTGATGTGGGAGCTGTACACAATGAAGTTGGGGATAATAACAGTGAAGGTACCAAAAGTAGGCCAGGCCCTGGAAGAGCTCCCCTTCTTGTGCCCCCTGGTTTGGAAGATGACTGATGGAGGCCTCCAATGTCCTTTTCCAATTCTCACAAATCACAGGGTCATGGAAGTTCTTGAGTCCATCCAACCCACAGTACAACAGAGCCAGACAAAACTTTCAGATATAGAAGACAGTGTTAGAGCTGGGGAATCAGAATGCAGAATGTTGAGTTGTGGTGGTAGGGCAGGTGAAGGGTTAGGGTTGGGGGGAAGGAGGCTCAGGGTACCTCAAAACAGAATGTCAGAGCTGGAAGGAGCCATAGAATGTAGAATATCAGAAATGAATGGGATTTTAGAGTCCAACCCCCTCATTTTACCTTTAGAAGTAATCTGAAAACCAGAGTGGGCAAAGAAACTTGTCCAAGGCCACACAATACAATAATTTTATATAGTACTTTTAAAAGTCTTTTTTAGTTTAAAATGGCACAGTAGGTAGAGTATAGGACTTGGAGTCAGGAAGACCTAATTTCCAATCCTGTGTGACCCTGGGCAAGTTACTTAACCTTTCTGTGACTCAGTTTTCTCATTTGTACACTGGAGATAATAAAAGTATCCTACTTCACAGGGCTGTTATGAGGATCATGTGAGTTAATATATAAAGTACTTTGCAAACCTTGAAGTGCTATATAAATGCTAGTTATTATTATTATTTACATCGTTTTTTTATTTAATTTTTAGTTCACAAAAAATTATTTCCTCTCCCTCCTACCTCTCCCCCTTGGAAAACAAAACAAAACAAAACTCTTGTAACAAATATGCATAGTCAAGAAAAACAAATTCCTGAATTGGCCACGTCTTGAAAATACGTCTCATTCTGTACCTTCAGTCCATCACCTTTCTTTAAGGAGGCCACGCGATGAGTTAGAGGCTTTGCTTGGTTTAGAGCTCAGGTCCTCCAAGATGAGTGAGTTCTTGGAATCAGAAGGTGGTGGACTATGCTATGTGTCTCCCATCACTGCTTCCCTGAATCCTCACCAGCCCGATCACTTCGTGATGGCCACCGGGATGACCAGGAAGCCTTTGATGTTTGGGAAGTGGGTGCTGATGAGATCCACCTGCAGCTGCCTGTTTCCACTTTTGTAAGGTGTGATCTCAAACCGGACTCTGGCCCTCTCTTGGGGCTCCAGGGCTGGCACACTAGAGCAAAGAAGAAAGACGGAGGGTCAGTCCTTCAGGCCCCTCTTATCTCTAGGACTGAACACTACAAACTCTTTTGCGATGAAAAACCTCCTGCAGCCTCCTGTGGCCCATAACAGAACCAAGTCCAAACTTCCTACCTGGTGTTTGATGCTCTTCACCATCTGGTTCCAATTTAGCTCCAAAGTATCACCTCCCTCTTCTCCCCTCCCCTCTACTATCCCACATTAACCCTTCCTCAATTTTGGACAATCAATATCTTCTCAAGGTTCTTTCCTACCTCCATGGTTTTGCTTATCTGGTTCCCATGCCTGGAATACTCTGCTTTCTCTTCTCTATTTGTCTAAATCCTTCCCATCCTTCAAGGCCCAGCTAAATCTCACCTCCTCCAGGAAGCCTTTATTGATTTTCCCAGCCCAAGTTTCTTCCCCGCCCCACCCCCCCACAAGCTACTATAGCTATCACTGTCTGTGATGATAATAGCTTAGTTACATAGCATTTTATTATTTGCAGACCTTGCATTCATTATTTTTGTAACTTTAGCATCAATAGGTATAGAGCTGGAAGGGACCTTAGAAAAAGCAAGTTGTGCTTCCCTCACAACAGCCCTGTGAGTTAGGTGGTGTATCATTTATCCCTATTTTACAGATAAAGAAACTGAGGTCCAGAGAGCTAGTGAGTGGCTGAGACAAGATTCAGTCCAGGGTCACCAAATCCTTCTTTGTACTATACCACAATTCTGCCTCAATATACATCTCCTCCTCTGATCTTCCCAATAAGTTTTCCAGATGGGCAAACTGAGGCTCAGAGATGCTTGTCCAAGGTTACACAGCTAATTTTACATGGCAAAACTTGGACAAAAAAAATGCATCCTTTGGCTATGCTTCTAGGACGTTTTCTGTCTCACCAGACTGCTCTACTTCCCGGCCCCCACCCCCAACCAGGCCCTACTGAAATACCCAAGGCTGTAGGACTGTTGCAGGGTCTGGTTCCCTGCCTCTCTCTTTCCCTCCCCAGCCCCAGGGCCTCTTGCCCCCTCATCTCCTCTCCTACCCCCTTTACTCACTCGATGTTGAGCTGCTCCCTGAGGAGCCCACTGCCCTCCATGATGAGCATGCAGTCCTCTACCCTCTCAGACAGGGGGTTGGCAATTGTGACCTCCAGAGCAAGAACTTCACCTACCACAGCAGGACCCAGCATCTGGAGGGGCAGCACCACAGTAGGTTGGTCTCGGAACCTTTGACCTCATTTCCCTCTTGGGCACCATCATCCCAGACAGAGTTTGGAGGCATGAAAGGGGCTCCCAAAAAGAGCCACTGAATCACAGCAAGATAGAGGAGGGAAGGGACTTTAGAGGTCTCAGTTATCAAAGTGACCTTTTTCCCTCCCTGGAGGCAATTGGGATAAGTGACTAGCCCAGGGTCACACAGCTACTAAGTGTCTCTGGTGGGAATTGAGCTCTTGTCCTGCTGACTCCAGTGCTATGCTCTATCCACTGTGCCACGTAGCTGACCCCACAGTGATCTTCTTAAAATATGTCTGACCATGTCCTCTCCCTATTCAGTAAGCTCCAGTGACTCCCTATCACCTCCAGGATCAAATATAAAATCCTCTATTTGTTTGCCTTATTAAGCTCTTTAAAACCAGAGCCCTTCCTGCCATTCCAGTCTTCTCAGCCTGTGCTCCCTTTCACACACCTTTCGGTTCAGTGATACCGGCCTCCTTGCTGTTCCTCAAACAAGACAACCAATTCCCTTCTCTGGGCATTTTCCCTGGCTCTCCCCGATGCCCGGAATGCTCTCCCTGCCGGTCTCCACTCTTTCAAGTCTCAGTGAAAATCCCGCCCTCTACAGGAAGCATTTCCTGATTCCCTTTAATCCTGGTGCCTTCCCTCTGAAATTATCCCCAGCTTATCCTGTCGAGATCTTGTCTGGACCTTGTTGGCTGCACCTTGTCTCCCCTGTTAGATTGTAAGCTGCTTGAGGGCAGGGACTGTCTTTTGCCTTTCTTTGTATCTTCAGCACTTAGCACAGTGCGTGCCACATAACAGGCACTTAATACATTCTTGTGGTCCCTTTGCCATGACCTCCCTTCACCCTAGTTGGTCCCTTGGGCTGGTACGACCTTGATGGCAATGAAGTCTTCCAGGGTGATGTCCTTCTCTATCAGGAGCTTCTCGCCTTTGGAGACCAGGCACATCGCAGCCACCAGGATCTTCTTGTCATCTGTCAAGTCTTCTTTGTACTCTGAGTAAGAGATCTCCACGGGGATCCTCTTCTCTGAAAGAGAAATTGGAGGTTGCTACTTGGGCTGCCATTTGGGAGCAACAGCTGGAGAAGAAATCCGGTACAGTGGAAAGAACCCTGGCCGCGGAGTGAAAAGCACCTGCTGCTGATCGGTCATATATGACTCTTCATGACCCCATTTGGGGTTTACATGGCAAACGTACTGGAGTGGTTCGCCTTTTCTTTCTCCGGCTCATTTTACAGATGAGGAAACTGAGGCAAGCAAGGTGAAGTGACTTGCCCAGGGTCACACAGCTAGTAAGTATCTGAGGCCAGATTTGAACTCAGGTCTTTCAGATTCCAGGCCCAGCACTTTATCCACTAGAGTCAGAAGATCTGGGTTCAGATCCTCCAAGGTCACTCACTATCTGTGAGACTTAAGATCATTTTGAATCCTGAATTTGTTACTTATTATGTATGATCTTTGTTAGGTCACTTAACCTCCATTCACCTCATTTTCTTCATCCATAAAATGAAGAGGTCAACTTGACGGCCTCTGAGGTCTCTTCTAGCTCTATACTTATGCCTTAGAGTCATAGAATTGAAAACTAGAAAGAATTCTAGCTCTAGTATAATCCCTTCATTTTTACAGATGAGGAAACTGAGGTTCAGAGAGGCCAAATTACTTGCCTGTGGTCACCTAGGCAGTAAGTGACAGAGTCAGGATTCAAAACAGGTCCTCTACCTGAGTTCAAATCTGGCCTCAGACCAAACACTTGACACTTACTAGCTGTGTGACCCTGGGCAAGTCACTTAACTCCAACTGCCTAAAAATAAAAACAAAACAAAACAAAACAAAACAGGTCCTCTATCTCACAAAGAGTGTGCTCAGATCCTCTGAGTTCAGAGCCAATGATCTTCCCACTGTACCATATTATCTCCCTAACTGAGAAACTACCTGGCTGATGCAAATACATAAAATTTGCATTTTAAAAGATCATAACTTATATGTAGAGATCGCATAGTTCAACCCTATCATTTAACAGATCGGGAAACTGGGGCCTAGAGATGCTAAATGAGTTTCATAATGTCATGGTCAAGTTAGCCAACATGCATTTACTAAGTACCTAGCATGTAACAGACACTGTGTTAAATGCTGGGAATATAGAGAAAGGCAAAAGACAGTTCCTTCTCTCAAGCGGCTCATAGTCTAATGAGGGAGATGATATGAAAAAAAAACTATATAGAAGAAAGATATAGAGAGGATAGATTGAAGATAATCCACAGAAGGAAGGCACTGGTGTTAAGGGAGATCTGGAAAGGCTTTCTATAGAAAGTGGAATTTTAGCTGGGACTTGAAGGAGACTGGGGAAGCCAGGAGGCAGAGATGAGGAGGTAGAGCATTGCAGGCTTGAGGGACGGCCAGAGAGAACGCCGAGAGTGGGGAGATGGAGTGTCTTCTATGAAGAACAGCAGGCAGGCCAGAGTCACTGGACTGATGATATGTGGTGGGGCATAAGGTTTCAAAAGACTGCAGGGAAGGAGGGGATCGGGTTCTAAAGGGCTTTAAAAACCAAACAAAGAGGGTTTTATATTTGATCCCTCAGGTGAAAAGGAGCCCCGGGAGTTGATTAAGCCAAGGCGTGACATGGTCAGACTTGCTATGGGAAGGTCATGGAGGATGGACTGAAGTGGGGAGAGACTTAAGGCAGGCGGACACCTCTCCTGGCCTGGCAGCTATTGCAATATCCAGGTGTGAGGTAATGAGGGCAATGTCAGGAGAGAAGGGGCATATATGAAAGATGTTATTAAGGTAGAATCGACAGGACTTGGCAACTGATTGGATGTGGAGGCTGGGCAAGAGTGAGGAGGCAAGGATGGCACCTTGGTCGTGATCCTGAGGGTCTGGGAGGATAGTGGTGTCCTTCATAGTCACAGCTAGTAAGTCACAGAGTCTGGATTTGGACCCAGATATTCTGAGTCCAAACCAGTGCTCTTTCCCTTGCACCAAGATACTTGTAAAGACAGACCGGAGACATCATTTGCATGGCCCACAGGTGTTCAGTCATCAGAGGAGCTTAACAGGCTGTAGGAGGAAGAGAACTAGATAGAGATTCAAGAGACGTGGGTTCTGGCACTTTCCAGTTGTGCAACTGTGGGCAAGCTCTCTGATTTCTCTAAGCCTGGCTTTCTTATTTATAAAATGGGGTAGTAACATTTGCACACAGCCATTGGAAGGAATTTAAAGCCTAGAGAAATGAAAGCTACAAAAATCATGTATTATTATCAGTCACCAATTACTCCCCTTCATGTGGACTTCAGTTCTCCATTCCCTACCCCATATTCCCATATCTCAGATTCTGCTAAATTATCTGTGCTAGAGTACACCTCCCCCTCCTCCTCCTGACTTCCCACTCCCACCCCAAACGTGCATCAGCTCTGCCTTTTGGATTCCTATCAGTTCTTTAAAGCCACCTTCTCCAGGAAGTTTTCCGTAATCCTCCCCAACGTGACTCCTTAAAGGCAAGAATTGTTTTTGCCATTTTGTATGTCCCCAAGATTTAGAACAATACCTGGCATGGTAAACACATAATTAAATGCCTGTTGACTGATTATCTCCATGTTATACAGTCTCTCCTAGAATATTACTCTGTATCCACTAAGAACTTTGTAAATGTTTGTTGAATTCAAATGAATTATGTATTGATTGCTTCCTGTGGAGCCTGTCCTAAGTTTAACTGGAAGATACAGTCCCTGCCCTTATGCTAGGGCTGAGATAGAAAGAGTGATGGCCGTGAAGTCAGAGGACCTGGGTTCAAATCCTGGTTCTGTAATTTCTCACTGAGAGGTCTTGAACAAGTCACTTAACTTTTTTGGGTCTCAATTTCCTCTGCTCTAAAATGAGGGAGTTGGACTAGAACTTGATGCCCTCTAAAGAAGTCTCTTCTTGGTCTAAACCTATGGACCTTTAAGGAGATAATCCATTTTCTCTCTGCTTATTGGAGTCTTTCCTGCTGCCAGAGCTTGGATGGAGCACTGTCTCTTCCAGGAAGCCTTCCTAGTCCCCCATAATCTTATCCAAATGAATCCATCACTAAGTGGTCAGAGCAGGAAATTCCGGCCCATCTTGTTCCTTCTCTCCCTCCTACTTCTACCCCCATCATTCACCGAAGGGGGAAGATTTCCCCCATGTCCCATTGACCTCTCCAGGCCAGATCTGGATGTGCACCAAGACCTTTTATCCAGATTGGTCTTCCTAGGAGAAGGGAAGTTACCTTCTTCAGGCTCTAGTTTGATTGAATGGGATTCATGCAGGATCTCAGCCACTGGTCTCCGGGTGTAGAGGATGGTGGCTGCACTCAGGTTCACCTTGACCCTCTGGAGGCGGGAGGTGAGGTTGGTGAGGCAGATGGCCAGCTTGATGTCCTGGCCAATGACAGGGGGCTCCAGCAACTTGAACTTCCCCATGATGTTGGGCTTCTTGGCTGGCTCCAGAACGTCATCCCTCCAGGAGGCCCAGCCTCGGCCACTGGCCCTCCGGATCCTGTCTCTTCTCCCTGAGGCTTCTACCCCAAAGAGCTTCCTCACTGCTTTCCTGTATACCTGCCTTTCCTTCCGGGACCCTGAGGGTTGGAAGAGAATGATTATTAGTGGTATGGGTCTACCTCCTCAGAGCTTGGGCTCTGCAGACAGCTTGTCCCAGGAGGGGTAGAATAATCTCCCTTAAGCCAGCTGTGCCGTCTTCTAAAGGTCAGGCCTTGGGCAAGCCAGGGTAAAGTCTGGAAGCTCAGACCCCTAATGCTCCCTTCCTTCCCCCCCCTCCCCTTAGAAGACAGATTCTGCCCAAATCCAAATCCTATAGATCCCTACCCAAACTCATCCCCCTCTACCCCATTCCCCTGACATATCCTGTCATTCTCTACACACTGTCTCTGAGGGTTTTTATCAACTTCTACAGGTTTAATTATTCTCTATAGTGGATTCCAGCTCAAGTCCTAGCTTCTCTCCTGAGTGTCTCCTCACTAACTTATAGAGTTATAGAGCACGTTCTGAACTGTCCAGAGATCGGCCTCATACATCGTAAAGCACTTAATAAATGCTGACTGGACATCTTATAGGCACGTCAAACTCCTAAGCAGAACTCATATTCTCCCCAAAGTCCTCTTCTGAACTTCTCTATTTCCATTAAAGAGCCAATGCCTTTCTAGTCACCAGTTTTCAACCTAGGAGTCATCTTTGACTCTTCCCTCTCACCCTAGGTATCCAATCAGTGGTCAAGTCTTACTATTTCTGCTCCTGTGCCATTATTCACATCCATCTCCTTTCCACTCCACATGACCCTGCCTTAGTTAGGGCCCCCATCACCTCTCTCCTAACCTATGACAATAGCATCTTAATCCATCTTTTTGCCAAGGGATGACATCTACAACTTGTTCAGCCATTCTTTAATTGATGGGCATCCCCTCAATTTCCAATATTTTGCTACTATGAAAAGGGCTGATATTAATGTTCTTTACATGTGGGTCATTTTCCCTTTTTTATGATCTGTTTGGGATACAGACCTACTAGTGGTATTGCTGGAGCAAAGGTGTGCAGTTTGTTGCAAGGATGCTATTTACAATCCATCCCCCCATGGCTGCCAAAGTGAATTACCTAAACCATGTTGTTCCCCAGCTCAATAAACTCCAGTGGCTTCCTATTAATTCTAGAGTGAAATACAAATCCCTCTGTTTGTCATTTAAAGTCCTGCTTTAAAGCCTGCCTGCAATCTATCAGTCCAAACTTATTATACGTTAGACTCTCATTCAGGCAGTCTTTGGCCCAGCCAAATTACTCTTCTTGGTATTCCCCACACAAAATATCCCCTCTCCAGTCTTACATGCCTTTTCAGAGGCTGGCCTCCGTGCCTTGAGTGCTGTCTTCTTCCTCCCCTCTGCCTCTTAGAATCTCTAATTTCCTTCAAAGCCAAACCAGAGCTCTATTCTCTGCATGAGAGCTTTCCTGATCCCTCCAGCTTTAAGGCTTACCCCACCAAGTTACTTTGTATCTATTCTTTCAGCATATATTTTCTATACATTTCTATAAGTGTGTATTGCCTTTCTCTAGACCAGTACTTCCCAAACTTATTTGGCCTACTGCCCCCTTTTAAAAAAAATTACTCAGTGCCTCCATGAAAACCTACTTTCTTTAACCTTTTATTTTTTTAAATTTACATCATTTCAAAAATATAAAATGTTTTTTTTAAAAATGACGCATCTTAAATTTAATAATTTATTGTAAATTTGTGTTTTTTCCCTGCATTGAAATTTTGATGACTCAATACTGCATCATGTAACCATATAGTATTGTATTGTAAACAAATCATTACATGCCCATATTCCTGCCCATGCATGCTGGACTTCCTGCTGGCCTGCCCAACACTTGCTTGGTAAGACCTGTCCAGGGACTTGACCACTGATTGGTTATAACTTGCATTTTGTGTGTTTATTTAGAAAACAATGTAATCACTACGACTTTAACTCTGTTACACAACAGATAAAACATGTATAAATGGTTTTTCAAATTTTTCTTCTCTTTTTTCCTTGTGCTTCCACTGCCCCCTTATTTTTATTCAACATCCCCCAAATGAGGCTACTACGACCCCAATAGATAATTCCAGCGCCCCCCAGGCAGTGGTATCGCCCACTTTGGGAACCTATGCATTTAGACTGTAAGATCCTTGAGGGATTGTTTTACTTTTCATCTTTGTATTCCCAGAACCTGGCACATAGTGGATACTTAATAAACGTTGGCTGATTAAGAGTCTCTTTCTCCCCTCTCCCTAGTTATCTGCAAAGGAGGGAAATTTGTCTGGGTACTTGCAGAAGTAAGATTTCCTTTCTGTCCTTTTTATACTTCGAGTCAATAATAATGAAACATTTATTGAGCACTTTAAAGTTTTGAGAAAAGTTAAAATAGTAAATTATCCTCATTTTATCAATGGAAAAACTAGGCTCAGAAGGGGTTCAATGACGCCCAATGTCACACGAGAAGTTAGTGTCAGAACTCAAGTGGAGGCTAAGTCTTCTGACTCTAGGTACAAGAAACTGTACATTGGGCAATTCCTTGATGCCTTTTTGAGGCAGCGCCCATTTCCTTCCTTCCTTCCTTCCTGTCTACCTGCCTTCCTTCCTTGTTCTCTTTTTTCTTTTTTTCATGCTAGTGTTGGGTAGGGGCTAGGGGCTGGGTGATGAAAATGGATTTCTTACCTTTTTTGAGTCCCAAAGTAACCAGGAGGTAGCAGAGTGTAGTGGAGAGCGGCCTGTACTTTGATCAGAAGGGTTCAAGTTTGAAGCCTGACTCAGATGCTTACTTGCTATGTGACCTGGGCAGATCATTGAGCATCTCTGAAACTATCTACTTCATAGAGTTATTTTTTTTTTTTTCATTTATTTATTTATTTTTGGCTTGGCAATGGGGTTAAGTGACTTGCCCTGGGTCACACAGCTAGTAAGTGTTATGTGTCTGAGGCCGGACTTGAACTCAGGTCCTCCCGAATCCAGGGCCGGTGCTCTATCCACTGCGCCACCTAGCTGCCCCCATAGAGTTATTTTGAAGAAAGTATTCTGCAAGCCTTAAAGTTCTTTATAGATGTGAGTCCTATCCACTTGACTACCTAGTGGCTCTGTCACCTTGGACAAATCACAACTTCTCAGGGCCTCAGTTTTCTCCTCTGTAAAGTGTGTGTGAGTTGGACTAGACTGATCTCTAAGGTCCTTTCCAGCTCTAAGTGGTATGATCCTGGGTCACTGTCATTGAAGAGAGGGAGCAAACAGCATGGGCCTCCATCACTACCCTCTCTGACTGACTCAGCCTTCATTCCACATAGCAGCCTAGCCATACTGGTGGCTGTCTCTTTAGAGATCTCACAAACAGGATTCTGTTAACATATAGTTTGTTATAATTTGGAGCCAGTCTGTTTACGGATTGTTAGAGCTAAGAGGAGCCTTAGAGACTATTTAGTTCAATCCCCTATTTCAGAAGAGGAAATTGAATATTTGTCTAATAGAGATTTGCCTAATGTTGTCATGCAGCTGGTGATCAGCTGAGGCCAGATTTGAACCCTGGTCTTCTGTCTCTAACTCTTCTATTACTTCACATCTTCTCCCATTTCATATGCATAGGGGCTAATCTGTCACTTTGGTGAGGCTGGGAAGGAAAACAAGCCCTTATCATCTCAGAAGGCCTAATCTCTACAGCCTCTTGGGGCCAACACCCACTCTCCTTTCCTCCCACATGGGGGAAGATAACTCATATCTTCTTGCCAATACCTTAGGGCTTGGTTGTCATAAATCTCTGGGTTCCAAGCATGTTTCCACTCAATGCCAATGCTGGCATAAGCTGGCTCCAGCACAGCATGCCTTGTGTCCTACAAAGCCAGTTGTTCAGGAGCCAAATTTGGGGGTGGTGGTGGCAAAGGATGGTCTCTCCATGGCTCTTGGTGAGAACTGTCTGACTGTTTATTAATGTGTGGTTTGGAGATGAGACTTCAAGCAGGTTACTTTGGTGGTAATAGGAAGAAATCCAGGTGAACCATGACTAATATGCTGGACCCACGTTTATCTAGTGCCTTAAAGTTTGCAAAGTGCTCTGCCTATATTATCTCCTTTGATCTTCACAACAATCCTGGGGGGATGATATTATTATCCCTATTTTCCAGGTAAGAAAACTGAGGAGAAGAGATGAAGTGACTTGCCCACGGTCAGTCTTTGAAGTCAAATCTTTCTGACTCTCTCCATTATACCACCTACCTTCCTATATTTACTACGCATCTATTTGACTAATGAAAGGACCAAGCTTGTGTTTTGTTTTTTTAATTTTATTTTTTTAAAGCTTTTTTTTTTTGGTGAGGCAGTGGGGTTAAGTGACTTGCCCAGAGTCACACTGCTTGTGAGTGTTATGTGTTTGAGGCCAGATTTGAATTCAGGTCCTCCTGACTCCAGGGTCGGTGCTCTATACACTGTGCCACTTAGCTGCCCAGGAGGAGTCATCTTTGGAACAAGAAGAGGACCTGGTAGAGAGTGGGCTCAAGGTCCTGAGGAGAGTAGGCACCAGATTTCCTTCCTTCCTGAAGGCAATCTGGCAGCTGGCTTCATGTCCAGGCCAGGCCCACATGCTAAGCAAATAATAACTCTCATTTCTATAGTGCTTGAAGGTCTATAAGGTGCTTTTCTCATGAAACACTGTGAGGTAGGCCATGTAAGGATTATCACTATTTTACAGATGAGGAGACTGCTTTAGAGAAGGGAAGTGACTGGCAGGGACACAGAACTAGCCTCAGGCCTGGATCCAAACCTAGGTCTCCTGTCTTCAAGTCGAGTATTCTTCCCCATACTCCTTGCTGTCTCACAGTAGATTATGTGTGTGTGTGTGTGTGTGTGTGTGTGTGTGTGTGTGGCTAGTTAGACCAGGGAGCTTGTCCACTATCTATGGCCCTTATCTTAGGATATCTTTGGGTTCTGTCACTCAACAATTTTGTCCTTTCTTATTTGGTCTTCTAGCAAACAATCAATAAGCATTTATTAAGAGTTTGCTGTGTGACAGACACTATGCTAAGTAAACACTTTGAATATCAAAGAAGGCAAAAACCAATCCCTGCCCTCAAAGACCTTACTTTCTAATATGGGAGACATGTATAGAAAAAGGTATGTACAAGACACAGGCTGAGTAGAGGAAAAGTAATCCCAGAAGGAAAATCTCCAGCAGCTCCTGGCTGCAGAGCTGTACAGAGCTAGGTGAGTGCAGTGTCTAGAGAGCCAGGCCTGGAGTCAGGAAGACCCGAGTTCCAATCCATCCTCAGGCATTGCTAGCTGTGTGACCCTGGGCAAGTCACTTACCCTCTGTCTGCTTCAGTTCTTCATCTGTATAATAATAGCTCCTACCTCAGCAGAATCAGATGAGAGAATAATTGTAAAGTACTTGGCACAATGCCTGGCACATAGTACGTACTTAATAAATGTTAGCTATTACTATTTTGTTTTCTTTGCCAAGGAGAATATCCTTTGGACTGAAAAACAAAAACAAAAGATTGATAATAGGGAGTCAGTACCCCAAAGTAAGTTAAGGAGATGATAAGAGAACATCCAGTACTCTTGACGTCTTCAACTCAATTGACCCAGATTAACAATATCCTTGAGTACTAAAAAAAAAAAAAAAAAGAAAGCAAAAACCCCAAACCCAACACCCTGGCAGATGTGATTATTTAGCCACTGTCAGTGATTTTTAAAATACTGTGGAAAATGTCAGTGATGCTAAAGGACTGGAGAAAGGCAAGCGGGAAGAGAATTGAATCTGTAAAACATAAAATCAGGGAGGGAGATATCCATTCCTGGAAAAATTCTAGAACATATTAGTAAATACAGTATTATTAATTATAGAATTAATTAAATTAATTATTGCAATTATTAAACCTACTATTAAAGAGGTTAGGAAAAGGTAAACTGTATCTCTACGAGAGATCAAAGACATAGAAAAAAGAGGAAAAGGTGCCAGATGTACAAAAATATTCATAGCAGCTCTTTTTATAGTAGCCTCAAACTGGAAACTGAGAGGTGTGTGAGGGGGAACAGCTGAATGATAATGGGATATTAGTGTGCCATGAGAAATAATGAAATGGACTATTTTAGAGGAAAGTGGGAAGACCTCTATGACTTGATACAGAGCAAAATGAGCAGAACTACCTGAACAAGTTATATGATGACAACATTAGAGAGAAAAATAACTTTGAAAGACTTTGGAACTCTGATTAGTGCAGTGATAGGCAATGAGTCCAGAAGACTAAAGATGAATCATCTCATCCCCCTCCCGCCACCTACACACGCCCTGCCTGAGAAGGGATGGACTTAAAAGCCAGAATGAGACATGCACTTTTGGAGTGGCCAATGTGGGAATTTGCTTTGCTGGACTATGGGAAATGGTTGTAAGGGTTTGGTTTTCTGTTCTTTTTATTGTTCAATTGAGGGGAGGGGAATGGGAGGGAAAGATAGTAATTGCTTGTAAAATTAATTTTAAAATATTTTTCTAAAAGGAAAAAAGTGACTACATATAGCTAGTATGGCTTCACAAAGAACAGACTAACCTTATTTCCATTTTTTGACTAGGTTAACCAAATAGTAGATCAGGCAGCTAGGTGGTGCAGTGGATAGAGCACCCAGGGCCTGAAGTCAGGAAGACTCCTCTTCCTGAGTTCAAATCTGGCCTCAGACACTTACTAGCTGTGTGACCCTTGGTAAGTCACTTAAGCTGTTTGCCTCAGTTTCCTCATCTGTAAAATGACTTGGAGAAGGAAATGGCAAACCTTTTGGTATCTTTCTCGAGAAAACCCCAAATGGGGTCATAAGGAGTCAGACATGACCAAAAATTATTGAACAACAACAACAGATCAGAGAAATACTATAGTCAGGGGTGTGCTGGAAGCTGCTCTGCCAGATTCAGTCAAGCGCTAGATTTTTTTTTTTGGCAAGGCAATTGGGCTTAAGTGACTTGCCCGGGGTCACACAGCTAGTAAGGGTCAAACCTCTGGTCTGAGACTGGATTTGAACTTAGGTCCTCCTGACTCCAGGGCTCTCTCAGCCACTTAGCTGCCCCAAGTGTTAGATTTTTTGCGTGAACATTTATGCCTTAGAAATCTTCAATCGGGGTTTGGTTTATTGTTTGATTGAATGTGTAGGCTTAAGAAAGTGATGAAAAATGTTAATAATGCAGATTAAACTTAAAAATGTTGCTGGTATAGTTTTTGTTTTTAGGGAGCTGGTTATTAAACATTTACCAGCATATCCCTGGTTGTAAATCGAGGTCTGCTCATGTGCATTGGATATAGTGCAATTCAATGATTATGGAACCAGTTGAATGTCGAGATATGTTCTTAGTCTCCGATGGAGTGTTTCAGAGATTTGTGCTTTTCTCTTTGCTATTAAATATTTTTAATGATAACTTGAATAAAGTCATAAATGGCATGCTTATCAAATTTTCAGGTCACACAAAGCTGGGAGCAATAGCTCGCACACTGGATAAGAGTCAGGATCCAAAGAGCTCTTGGAAGGCTAGATTGTTGGGTTGAATCTAATAAGGTGAAATTCCATAGAAATGAAAAATAAAGTCCCACATTTGGGTTAAAAACATAGATTTCACTAGTATAAGATAGAGGAGGCATGGGTAAACTGAAGGTTTCCTAAAAAAAAAAGATCTGGAGGTTAGGGTGGTCTGAAAGCTCAATGTGAGTCAATAGTATGATATAGTAGCCAAGTGAGCTGGTGTGATCTTGGACAGCTTTGGGGAATAGTTCTCTCGCACTCTGCTCTGGTAACACAGTACCTGGAGTATTATGTTCATCTGGGCTGCACATTTTAGGAAGGCTATTGATGGGCCTAAGGGCATTCAGATAAAGGTAGTCAGAATGATGAAGAGCCTTAAGTTCATGCCATAGGAGGTTAGACAGCTAGCTAGTACAGTGTGGCTAGGCTGTTGGAATTGGAGTCCAAAAAAACCTGAGTTCAAATCCTGCCTCAGACACATTTGCCATATAACCCTGGACAAGGCCCTTACCTCTGTCTATCTCAGTTTCATCATCTGTGAAATGGGGAAAATAATAGCATCTAGCTCTTAGGATTGTTGTGAAGACAAAATAATATATGTAAAGCATTAAATTCTTACATAAATGTTAGCTATTATTATTTGAAGGAACTGAGAATGTTTAACCTGGAGAAGAGAAGATTTAGGGGGGACATGATGGCTACCTTTAAGTATTTGAAGGGCTATCACTTGGAAGAAGGATTATACTTCAGTCAGTCAATCAATCAATCAATCCAGAAGCATTTATTTAATACTTATGTACCAGGCTTTGGGTGAAGCTCTAAGAATACAAAGAAAGGCAAAAATGGTCTTGTTCTGTTTGGCCCCCAGAGGGCAGAAGCAGGAAGAGTGAATGGAAGCCCAAAGAAGCAAGTTAAGGCTTGATATTAGGACAAATACATTGGAGGCATCCAGAATTGGGATGGGTTGCCTGGGGTGGTAGTAGGCTCTGTCACTGAAGGCAAGAACTGGCCTGATGACCATCTGTTAGGTGTGTTGTAAAAGAGACCCTTCTGGGGAGATATAGATTGGATCAGATGGCTGCTGAGGTCCCTTCTGGCTCTGAAATGCTAGGATTTTGTGATAGAAAGAAAGAGCCACTCCTCACCCCCTAGATATCAAGCTTTGGAGACTGGTTAGGAAAATGTGGATTTGGTAAGAGTGATGATGAGAATCAGCCATGGGCTGTTTCTGCTGTGGAAGGCGTAGACCAGCAGCCTCTGTTCTCACAGTAATTAACACTATGATAGTTCACCTATCTAAACTCTACGGTTTACAAAGTGCTTTTTTACAGATGAGGAAATATAACTTAACTGTGACTTGTTTAAGGTCACACAGTTAGCAAGTGTGAGAGCTGGAATTCAAATGCAGATCCGTCTTGCCCTCGAGTCCCCCATTTTCCACCATAGCATCCTGTCGGCTCCTGTTCAAATCCTTCGGGTTTACAAAACACTTTCCTCACAACAGGCAGGTAGTGAAATTTACTTCCATAAACATTTATTGAGCACCTACTCTATTCAAAGCACTGGGGATAGAAAGACAAAAATGAAAAGTATTCCTGCCCTCAAGCAGCTCACATTTTACTAGAGGAATATAGAATGTAGACATGGAAGCAAATTTAGAGTTATGTAATGTAATTAAGAAAGAGAGAGACAGAGAGATAGAGAGAAAGCGAGACAGACACAAAGAGAAAGCATTTACAACTGGAGGGACCAGGAATGGCTCCATGTAGAAAGATGGCCCCTGGGCTGTGCTTTAAGGGGAGCTGGGGATTCTAAGAGGTAGAGGTAAAGAAGGAGTACATTCCAGGCCTGGAGAATCACTTATGCAAAGGCAAAAGGTGGCATATGGGGTGTTAGGTATGGGGAACAGTTAGGCCCTTTTTACAGATGGGGAAACTGAGACCCAGAGAAGGAAAGCACTTGCCTATGGCTGCACAGCTAGTAAGTGACAGAGCTGGCACTCAAACCCAGGTCTCTCACCTCCAGACTTGGACTCTTTTCATCCATTAGAACGTAAACTTGGTGGGAGTTGGGACCATGTCACTTTTGTCTTTGCATGCCCATCACCGAGCACAGTAAACTAAATAAATGCTTGTTGATGGAGCTTTTGGGGCGATTGGACTAGCCCGTGTTATGCCCTTACCTTCAGGGTACTTGTAATGGCTGGTGATGTCCACACGGGTGTTGCTGCCCACAGCCTTGGTGCTGATGCATTTGCCAATCTTCTTAGTATCTGAGTAGACCCGCTCCCGGCTGTCATCCTCATTCCAGAGCCATGTGATATAGTCAGCGTTGACTTCAGCAAACACAAATGGTCCATCATGGGCCAGGTGCACATCACCTTCCCGGATGGCAGTGACAGAGGCTGGCCCACACTGAAACACACCTGGGTGTGGGATCAATGGAAAGAATGTGGGTGTGAGGGATACCAACAACCCTCAGAGCCAGGCTCTTGGCCGGATAGGCCAGGAAACCTTGCCCCAAATGGAAACAAACCCAAGTATTTGGGTTACCTTCACTCTCTTCCTGTGGTGTGGCATCCAGGACCTGCCAGCCATTGTAGGAGGAGCCAAGGTCTCTCCGGGCAAACCAGCTTTCATTCCAGACGTGAAAATTCCTGGAGCAGAGAAAAAAAATACAAATCCAGATAGAACAGATGTTTATTAAGAATAGCTGTGTGCAAAACACTGTGCTGGGGAGATACCAAATTTAGATAAAACACAGTTCCTGACTGGCCCTTGCTCACTATGCCTCTCAGAAGCTTACTGTTTTGCAGGACAAGACAGTCAGAGTATACATTACATAAGTTCATTAGAAATTTATAAAACAAAATATTATGTGGGGTCTGAGTGGGAGGGTCATTATCAGTGAGGATCATCGTGTCTGACTCTTTATGACCCTATTTGAGGTTTTCTTGGCGAAGATACTGGGGTTGTTTGCCATTTCCTTTTCAAGCTCATTTTACAGATGAAGAAACTGAGGCAAGCAGGCATAAATGACTTGCCCCTACACACCCAGCTGCCTGTAGCCAGATCTAAACTCAGGAAGATGACCTCAGGACCTGTACTCTATCCACTGTGCCACCCAGCTTTCCTAAAAGGAGAGATATGGCTGACTGTATTCACAGGTGTACGAGAGAACCCTAGGTGGAAAGGCTTTCCTACCCGGAAAGACCTCCCAGTCTGTCCTGTCAAAGTGCCTGAAATCCAAACAATTGGTTTTCTTCTGGAGCCAAGGAATTATTCCTTTTGAAGCCTGAAGACTGAGGCCATTCAGAATTCTCTTTGAAAAAGCAAACATCCCATTTTCTGCTAACTAGTGTGGGAGTGGGCAGAATGGCCTGCAAAAGGGGTGGCATAGGAAACCTGAGCAAAGAAGAAAAGGTTTGGAAGACCTGAAGTGGGGATGCAGCAAAGAATCAATTATGGAAGCATAAAAAGATTTTATTACTGCAATTGATATTAAATAACATATTTATTGTGAAAACGGTCAGCTTGGTTGCATGACTTCCTCCAGTATTATTTAGCAGCATATAAGCATTACTTTATTAAATCACTTATCTTTGCAATCCAATAAAACTTGTAAAAGAAAAAAAAGAAAAAGCAAACATCCCCCGTAGAAAGAACCCCTGAAACCTTCATTGGCTCAGGCCATAGCCTGGATTAATTGAAAGCTGGTTTAGAGCAAGGCCCTATGTGGGACAAGAGCCTTGGAGAAGTGTAGGCAGACAGGTGATAGTGTGGATAGAGTACTGGTCATAGAGTCAGGAAGAACTGAGTTCAAAGCCTGCCTCAGTTGTTTTCTAGCTGTGTGACCCTTGCAAGTCACCTCATCTTTCTCTCCTTCGGGTTCCTCAGTTGTGCAATGGGTAAAATAACTGCACCTACCTCTTAGGGTTCTTGAGGATAAAATGAGATATAATAATATAATATAAAAATATTTGTAAAGCACTTTGCAAACCTTACAATGCTATATAAATGTCAGCTATTAGGGGTATTGGGACACCAGGAATAGAGTGTGAAGGAACTGAAATGAAAGTCAGGTGAGAGAGTACACCAAAGACAAATTTAACCTCCTTTATAATTGTTCCTGGAGAGAGGCCTCTACCATTTTAGGATTTTGGGATTCTATGATTCTGTTCAGCTAAAATTCCAATATTCTATAATTTTAACTGTAAATCATGGTGCATAACTCTGTGGATTTACATGCACAGAGTTCAGTCTTGGTGACTTCTCGATATGGATCTTTCTTTAGCTTGTGCCCCCCTGGGAGTTTCCCATGGGAATATCAGGACTTGGCTTATTTCTAGGTCTCCATTAAGAAAACAGAAGAATCATGAATTCTCTTGATCTGACCTTGCAAGTTGGGGTCTTTCTGTCTGTGCCCCCATTTCTGCTCTCATTTTTAAAGGTCAAGCTAGAGGTGTAGCTTAGGTATATCAATTGTCTGGGCATCATTCAATCACCATCAATGTGGTATCAGTGAGACAATCCAGGGCACGTTGAGGGATGGACACCTTATCAAGGTGACATCATCAATGCTAGAACAAATTTTTCCTCTGTGGGCACAAGGACCCCAGAGATGGGGCAATGCCTACTGCCTTAGAATCTGTGACTCTCTGACACGAAGGTTCCACAATTTCAGAATTCTAAGTGTCAAGGATGAAAAAATAACCCTGGATTGGCTAGATTTGTCCTTAGGAGACTTGGCCCAGAGGCAGGCAACATTGTAGGGCTCAGGACTTTGCTGCTGAATTTGTTCCTCATTCTTGGGGAAGGGTGAGAGGGCAGTGTCCCACATGCCTGCTCCGCCACATGCCTCCTGTCCCCTGGGGGATGTCCTCACAGGCCCGGGGGGAAGGGAAGGAGCTATCAGGGGCTACAACTCGATACTTACCACATACTGTCTTCAGTTACGTCTTCCAGGGTCCTCCCAAATGAGTCCACAAATTTGTCCACACTTAAGTTCTTATCTGTGTCGTGGGCTGAGTTGAAATTGGAGACCACCCGGGTGGCAATTCCTAAACACCTTAGGACTAAAAAAATCACAGGCTAGGAATATTCCAGGCCATTTTGGGAAAGGCTTTCCCACTCCAGATTTTGTGCCCCCCCCACCCCCCACCCCCAAAGAAGGAGCTGAGTTACAGTTCTCATGGTATTTCTCTACTCACACTGCTCCCACCCAACTCTTGCCCTGCCCAACTTTCCTGTTCTTAATTCTATGATTTTCGTATATTTAATTTGTTTAAAATGAGGCACACTTGAAATGTGTTCACAAGTGAAACCTAGAAATAGTTGTACTGGATTGTCTGGTAATTTTTTTTTTAGTGGGATGGGTATTTTCTGTGGTTTTTCTCCCCTAGTGCAGATCACTGAGACCAGAGAAATTGAGGGGAGTCAGGGGTGCTTCATGCAAATTTAAGCCAAGGGAGTGGAGAGCTGAGCCTCCCTTACCCACCCAGGTACCTGTGCACATGACTCCAGCAAAGACCCAGCACTGGCCATACTTGACAGGCTTAAACCTGCCCTTGTACCATTTGTAGAGGATGGCAACGCTGCCCCGCCAGTGCAGGGGGCTGGTCCCACCGATGTACTTGCCCCGCCATTGGCCCTGGACCACACCTTTGTCATCATTGCTGTTCACCTGCCAGGAGAGGCCTCATTCAGTTATGTAGGCTGGAAAGGTAGGACTGGATGGCCCAGTGGCCAGAGCATACGACCTCCAAATCCTATGGGGTTGCAGGCGCTATCTCAGAATGGGTCAGAGTACACCGCCACCCCATCCCCCTCTATTTGAGATTGAAGGCTTTATGCCCAAGTGGGAGAGAGTGTAGATGGTTCTATTTACTCCAGCCCCACCCAGAGGATGTGTTCTGTTGAGGATAGAGGCTGAAAAGAAGGAAGAGAGTGTGCTATGATACAAAGACTAGGAGGGAATAGATCCTAAAATAGTCATAATATTTTTTTTTTGTGGTAGCAAAGAACTGGAAACAAAGTGGGTCCCCATTAACTGGGGGAATGGCTAAGCAAACCTTGTCATTCACTGCAATATAATATTATTGTGCCATAAGAAATGATGCATGTGAGGAATTCAGAGCAACCTGGGAAGACATATGCACTGAAGCTGAGTGAAGTAAGCAGAACCAGGAGACTGAGATGCATAGTGACCAAGGTCACCAAGGGACCAGAGAAGAGAATTCTATGGCATCAAATGAAAAGGACACCAAGAGGAAGCTGAGCTCTGAGTAGTAACTAATAATAATAATAATAATAATAATAATAATAATAATAATAATAATAATAATAATTGTAATAACCAATCCTGATCATGGAGGTCTGATAATGAAGCACATCATCCTTGACACAGAGGTGGGGGAGCGTGGAGGCAGAAGGGTGCATACATTGTCAGATGGAGACACTGTATCCATTGGTTTTGTTTAACTTGTTTCTCTTTTTTTAGAAGAGAAGGTTCAGTGCTGGGAGTGGGGCAATACATCCAGAAAGAGTACCATGAAAAAACCAAAATAACCACATTGCACCTAATTTTTTTTTTTAAAGAAAAAATCTTGGAGTCTAAAGACTTGAATTCTAGTCCCAGCTTCGCTATGGCTCATTTTATGACTTTTATCAAGTTATTCATACGAGTCAGATAGGACTCTGTCTCTGATATTCTATGTACTAAAGTCAGTCCCAGCTCAGACCATCGCTCTGCTTGAACACAAACTTCCATGGTCTATGATCAAAGGGTATTTTCCATGTGAATAATCTAAGATTTCTTTCAGTTCTAACATTCTATGTTCTAGGACTCCTTCCCACTCAGAAAATCTATGATAAAGGCTTTAGGATGATGATAGAATCCTAAACCAAAGCCCAGAAATCATTCATCCATCCATCCATCCATCATTCTATCCATTTCATCCATTCAGTTTCTTTGTTTTTGTCTTTTAGTTATCTATGATTTTTGGATTGTCTCCAGAATGGTGTAGTGGAAAGAGTATTGGGTGGGAGTCAGGAGACCTAAGTTTGAATCCTGCCTCTTAAAGCCTTAGTTTTCTCTTCTTTAAATTGAGGATGTTATCTATAGTAGGGATCTATAGGACTCACCTCACAAATCTGTTAAGGAAAGCATTTTGCAAACCCTAAGCCACTCTAAAAATGTCTTTTTAATTATCATTCCCTTCCCTTCACTTAGATATACGAGAATTATCTGTAACTTTGCCCATTTTGGGGTCTTCACACTGACACTTGCAGGTTTCTCAGTATATATGTATTGACTTTGTAGCCTTCCTGGGACACAGGGAAGAGATCCCATTTCCTTCCTTTCAGTAAGGGAAGCTATGGACCAGAAAGCCCTTGCTGAACTTGCTTCAGGTCACACAGTTCAGAATTTGAGTCGGCCTAGGGGTCTTAGTGGAGCTCTCCAAACTGTCCTCACCATGGCACTGATCACTCTGGTGACATAGATGGGGTCGTTTCGTTGGGATACATCAGTGACTGGGTCTTCCTGGTGGCTGGGGCTCCGGTCCAGTATAGAGAGGCAGATGTTCAGAATGTCCTCTTCAAACTGTGGTCCAGAAAAGCCAAGCTCAGTATGGTCTCTGATTAGACTGTTAAAGGCCCCCAAATTACCATAACCAATTGGTATCACTAACATAAGAACCACAGGGCTTGGCCTGGAACCCTGTGCAATAAATAGCCCCTCCTTTTGTGGGGAGAAAGTGAACTCTGTATCTGCTGAATTCTTAAGCCCCTCCTAGGCATGTCACACACAGGCAGTCCCAAGCCTCAGAAACACCCAGTGTCAAACAGAGGCAAACTGGAAATCTTTGTTGCTCTTTTTTTTTAAAAAGGGACTGTCTGACCTGGGGGGGAGGAAGCAGAGAATAGGGACATTTGACCTCTTTCCTCCCCCCTCCCAGAGCTCCACAGTGACCGCTCCCCTGGAGACCTGCCCGTAGTTCCAGCCCTGGGCTCGGATGTGTTTCTCCACTCCTCGGAAGATGATTCCATTGTCGTTCAGCACATACTCCTGCCGTTCCTCCTCTTCAGCCAGGTAGACATCATCCTCTGGAAAGCAGTCACCAGGATGGGTAGTCCTCCAGGGACTGAGATGGGGCTGGAGACTCTGCCCTTAATATGCTGGGGGGATGATTCTGTATATCATTGGGGGATGCTCCCAGAGGGCATGAGGCACCTGGGAATCTGGTGACGGAAACTGCCCTGTTGGCCCTGGGATGGGGAAGGGGGAGGAGGGAAGAAAGGGTGTGGGGCTCTGAACTTTGCCTTTTGGGAATGGGTCTAGCCAGTTGGTCTCATATAGAACTGAAGCGGGGGGGACAACTGGTGCTAGGTGGAGGACTGATCTAACAGTACAGGGCTTACCTGAGCACCAAGGATTGAAGAGGAGAATAAAGTGGCCCAATTTCTTATTGTTGTGTTTGGCCCGGGAGGAGACCCTCCCACTCAGCTTGTAATGACCAATGACAGCATCCGGAGGACTGGAGATGGTGACCGTCAAAGAATTCTCGTCCCTGGTCTCCTGCATGGCTCTCCAAGTACCCTTGCGCTTGGACTCTGATGCTTCAAATACACATTTAGTCTGGAGGGCTTCAGAGGCCTGGGGTCCTAACAAAAGAGTTGACTGTGAAACTTAGCTCTGAAAGCCAAAGAGGATGAGAAAGGGAGAGAAATGCTGTCTGCTGTCTACCTAGACACCAGACCTCCTACCTCAGAGGGGCAGCTAGGTGGCTCAGGGGATACAGTGTCACACCTGGAGTCAGGAAACCTGAGTTCAAATGTGACTTCCTCCACTTACTAGCTGTATGACCCTGGGCAAGTCACTTAACCCTGGTTGTCTCAGTTTCCTCATCTGTAAAATGAGCTGGAGAAGAAAATGGCAAACCACTCCAGTATCTTTGCCAAGAAAACATGAAGAGTCAGACACCACTGAAAAACAACAATAACAGTCTAGGTAGGAAAGTTAGGCACATTGTGCAGGGCTTGACTTCAGAGGTTCACAATGAATCCCAGGGTCACTGCAGAATCTAGAATCCTCAGGGCTGGAGGAAGTTTCTGGAGATGTCTCCTCCTCCAGCCAAACTGTTCCTGAGGCAGAAGGGTGTAATGAAAAGACTGCTGGATTTGGAGCAGGATTCACTTTTAAATCCTGGCTTTGCCATTTTCTCTAGTGACCCTGGGCAAATCACTGATTTTCTCTCTGAGCCTCAGCGTCCTCAATTAGGAAATGAAAGGCATGGACTAGAAGACTAGAATTCTAGATCTGTGCTTTTAGATGGAAGTTGTATACTCCCTTAATAGAAGCCCTGAGTGTTGGAGCTGAAAGGACTTTTGGGGTCAGTGCCCTGGGAGGAGCACACAATTCAACTGAACAAACATTTATTCAGCAGTTCCTGTGTACAAGACACTGAACTAGTGGGAAGGGGAGGCCGCTAAATGTGGAAATGTTCCTGTTCTGAAGAAGCTTCCATTCTCAGGGTTGAGGTTGAAACATGGGAGGTGGGAGGTGGTGGTGAGGGAGAGGGAGAGTACAACATGTAAACAGCTAATCATAATACAAGGTAAATTATCAAGGGGGAGAGCTCTAACTCAGAAGATCCAGGAAGGCTTCCTGGAGGAGATGGGACCATCACAGAAGAGAAGGGTTGTGGTGACCAGGTGGGAATGCATTGGATTTGGGGTCAGATGATAAGGGTTAGAATCTCAGCTCTGCTGTGTACTTCCCTGTCTCAACCTGGGCAAGTTATCTTTCTTTTTATTGGGCCTTAGAGCTCACATATGAAAAATTAGAGGGTTGGCCTAAGTATCCAACTCTAAATCACTGAGTCCAACACTCTGATTTTACAGAGGTGGAAACTAAGAACCAGGGGGAAGTGACTCTTCCAAGGTCATGCGATATGAGTTAGCCAGAACTAGCATTTGACCCAGGTCTCCTGTTTCTTTAGTTTAGTGGTCTTTCTATTATACCATACTCTATAACTATGAAACATACACCAAATCCTGGCTAGTCCTTGAAAAGGTGTACCCTGGGTCACAAGTGGTCCTAACTGAGAGACTGTGGATGGTTCCTTATGAGCCGTCCCAGTAGCTGCTTCAAAAGCTAAAGCAATCATGCAGTCTTAGGCAGCACAAATTGACATCCAGGGAGGTCTTAGATGTTTGCTGGTTTTGCCCAGGTCAGGTCCCATCTGGAAGTCAGATTTTAGATGACCAACATTGACAAAATGATCACATCCAGAGGATATGGATGTGGGAGGATGTAGGTTAGAGGAGTTGAAACTGTAGCAAATGAGAATCTTTTGAAAACTGGAAATGTTTAGCTTGAAAGACGGAGAGAGAGAGAGACAGACAGACAGAGACAGAGAGACAGAGATAGACAGAGAGAGAGTAGAAAGAGAGAGAAAGATGGAGGGAGAGAGAAAGAGAAAGAGAAATGGAGGGAGGGAGGATGAAGAGAAAGAGGGAGGAAGAGAGATGGAGAGAGAGAGGGAGGAAGGAAGAGGGGGGGTACAGAGAGAGGGAGAGGGAGAGAGAGAGAGAGAGAGAGAGAGAGAGAGAGAGAGAGAGAGAGAGAGAGAGAGAATGTAGCAGAAACATGGTAGCTGTCTTCAAGCATCTGAAGGATTGTAATGGGAGAAGAGGGAGCAAACTCTGCATGTGGATCCAGAGGGTGCTAGTTCGAGGGGTGAGGGGTAGGATATAATTTTGGCCCAAAAGACTGAGAAGTACTAATCCTTCCAGGCCTGAGATCTGAGATGTATGAAACCAGCATCCCAGGATCATACAGCCGAGAGCTCAGAAGTCTCCATTGGACCCACACCTGAACAAGAGCATACCCAAGTGGGAAGTCCGATGTTGCTTGAAGACCTCACGTGAAGGGGACCCCAAGGCATCCCATAGTAGGTGTTATATAAATGCTTATTCCCTTCTCTTCCCCTTTCCATGACAATTTTGTATAGTTTTACAGATCGGGTAGTTTTTCCTTATGTCAAGCCTTAATTCGCTTCTTGTATCTCCCATTTATTTCTCCTAGTTCTGTCCTTTGGGACTAAGAAGAACAAGAACAAGTCTCACTCTTCTTCTGTCTGACAGCCTTCAGATCCTGGAAGACAATTAACATGCCCCCCCCCCCTTAAATCTTTACTTCTCTAGGCTAAAGATCTGTAGCTACTTCAGCTGATCCTCCAGTATAAAATCAAGGCTCTTCACCATCCTGGTTGCTCTCCCACGGACACTAGTATGGATGCTAGGGAGGAGGGGAAGGGAACAAGCATTTTTGAGTGCTTACTATGTTCCAGGCACTGTGTTAATAATTGTACCAATATTATATCATTTGATCCTCAAAACCACTCTGGGAGGTAGGTGCTATTATGATCCCTCTATAACACAATAATATAATATAATAACAGTAGGGAAAACTAAGAGAGACAGAGGTTAAGTGACTTGCCTAGGCTGGATTTGAACTCAGGTCTTCCTGATTCCAGACCCAGTGCTCTATCCACAGCACCACTTGCTTCACTGTCCAGTTTATCAGTATCCTTCCTAAAATGTAATATCCACAACTGAACACAATACTTTGGATGCGGTGGGTCTGAACCGGACAAAGAACAGTAGAACTATAGTCTCCTTAGTCCTAGACATTATATCTCAAGACTCAGCCTAAACTTGCAGTTAGCCTGTCATGTCATATACTTAAGAGGCCACTAGGTGGGGCAGTGAGGACACGCTGCACTTTGAGTCAGGCAGACCTAAGTTCAAATTTCTCCTCACACATACTTATTAGCTGTGTAACCCTGGGCAGCCTCGTACCGTTCTCAGCCTCAGTATTCTTTTCTGTAAAAAGGGAACAATAATAGCATCTACCTCTCAGAGTTGTGCTGAGGATCAAATGAAATAGCTTGTAAGCACCTTGCAAATTGCAAAAGGCTATATAAATGTTAGCTATTACATTGCACTGTTGACCCCTTTTAAGGTGGTAGCTCACAAACTCCACCCCAAAGGTCTTTTTCAGAAAAATTTCTGCTTATTTCTTACTACATATATGTGAAATTGGGTTTTTGAATCCAAGTGCAAGATTTTAAATTTACCCCTATTGAATTTCATCTCATTAGGTATAGGACCAAGTTCTAGCCTGTCAAGAATCCCATTGTTCAATATATCAGCTCTCCTTTCAAGTTTTTGTATCATCTGCAAATTTTATAAGCCTGCTATTTCTTCAGAGGTGTGCTAGAACCCCCTCTAAGGGGCTTCTGAGAGCCCATTGTTAAATTTTCAAGTGTCAGCATTTACACCTCAGAAATCACTACATATCAGGGCTTAGTTTGTTGTTTTGTTGATTGTCTAGACTTCAGAAAGTATTAGTAATGCAGATTAAACTTAAAAATGTGTGTGCAGACTTTAGAATTCTCCCCCCTTGTTAAATATTTGCCAGCACACTCCTGCATTGCTTGAGCTCAGCAGAAGTGCAGTAGAAGGCTCAGGGAATGAAATTGTCATCAGACTGGAAGCCTGGGGGCAGTAGGATAATAATAATTGACGATGATGATGATAGCAACTGTCATTTATAAAAAGTTAGGTTTGCACATTGCTCTACGTTCATCATCTCCTTTGAACCTGACAAAACCCTTGCATCTACTCCTTCTTCCAAGTCACTGACAAAAATGGTAAACAGGTCAGGGTCAAGCACAGATCCCTTAGGCATGCCATTGGAGACTTTCTTTCGAGTTGACATTGAACCATTAATAACCATTCTTTGTGTCTGACCATTTTACTGGTTCCAAATCCACCTAACTGTACTATAGTCTAGCTCACATTTCTCCATTCCCCACAAGAACAGCATGAGAAACTTTGTCAAAATGCTTTGCTAAAATCTAGCTGAACGCTAGCTGTAGCATTACTCTGCCCTCCCAGTTTATTAACTCAAGTGAAAAGAGCTGAGTCTGGCATGACTTCTTGAGGAACCCAAGGTGGTTCTTTGTGGTGGTCATCACTTTCTTTTCCAGTTGTTCCCCACTCAGCCCCTTTAACAATCTGGCTCTGAATTTTGCCACAAACTGAAGTCAAGCTCATGGGCCCCTTAGTTTGCAAACTTCCTTCTCTTCCCTTGCTTGACAACCAGGGCAGCATGTGTGCCCTTCTCTGATTCTGGGGTGCTCTCAATGACTTTTCAGAGATCACTGAGAGTGGTTCCAAAAACCCATCTGCCGCTGGATGGACGTCATCTGGGCCAAAGTGGCTTAAACTCATCAAGGGCAGATAGGGACTCTGGTTGTCACCTGACTAATCTTGGGCATCAGCTCTCTATTAGCTAGTTTTTTCTTCTGTCCTTTCTATTCTAAAAATCATTCTCCGTGACAGAGGAGACAGAAGCAAAGTAAGAAATGAAGTTTTTCTTTTGCTCCATCTTTAGTTATTATTCCATCTTGAAGCCTTCTCTTTTCCCCAATATAGCTAAAAAGGAAAAAACAAAACAAAAACAAAAAACCCAACAGTAGCAACAAGTCTTGTGATCCTTAAATTTCCTTGATAGCTTTAGCTTATACCAAGCTTTATCACATCTAGGATTCTAAGATTCTCTCATATTCTATGATTTTAGAGTTAAATGTTCTTGGATTCTGATTCTAAGATTTGAGGGTTTTAGTATTCTGCATTCTAGGGATAGGGAGACAATGAGGTTTTGTCATGGCCAAAATATAATGCAAAAGTGTTGTTGCTTTTATTGTTTTTTAAATGACTGGAAGATAATAGAATTCTATTGCATTCTATATTCCATAGAATTCTAGAGTTAGAAGGGATTCTAAAAGCCATCTAGTCTAGCTCCCTTATTTTAAATGAGAGGAAAGAGGGTGGATGAATGACTTGCCTAAGGTCACACAGGTAGTGACAACTAGGATTTGAACCCAGGTTCTCTGACTCTAAAGCCCATGCTCTTTCTTTCTGTTATTATTATTTTTTTTGGCTAAGCAATGGGGTTAAGTGACTTGCCCAGGATGACACTAGTGTCAAGTGTCTAAGGCCAGATTTGAACTCAGGTCCTCCTGATTCCAGGGCCGGTGTTCTATCCACTGTGCCACCTACCTACCCTTGAGCCCATACTCTTTCCATTGTACCATGCAGAATGAAAGCAGAAATATGGATCAAGGGTTGGGCTGTTGATGGAAGAGATCAATGGCTTTGTCTTCTTTGCTTAACTTTCATTCTTGTTCAACATGCCGATTGTGGAGTATTTTGGGAACTCTAGACTCAGTTTTCTTCTATGATCATTTTTGTTGTTGTTGAAGAGTCTTTTAAATTGGTTTTGGGTACAGAGTTGCCCCATAGGAATTAAAGGAATTTTCTAACTCTGAGTCAGATTGTTGTCTGGGATCATGCACTTTGAATCAGCACTAGGCATAGATAGTCAAAAGACAGACTTAGCCAGGGGGACTTCTGGCTGGCTTTTGTTAACTGCCTTTAGCTAAGTGTAAGGGCTTGTAATCCCTACTATGGATTAAAAGAATTATCAGTTTTCTTTTGTCAGGGAAAGGCTTTCTGGGCACAATATTTTAGCAGATGGGAGCAGATAGCCCAACCAGTAAAAGGCCCTAAAAAGCTTAGCCCCAGAAGATAGTGGCAGAAAGACCACAGAGACATCCAGAAGAAACAGTGGAAATAATGAGACGCCCAGAAGAGATGATATGCCCGGCAGAGAGCAGAGATATGATATCCAGCAGAGCAGTGCAATGATATTTGTAGAGAGCCATTGATAAATGTTCATAGTGGAGTTTCTCCATCCATAAATGTCTCTGGCCACATATGTTCTCTCCATATATGTGCCCTCCATACGTGTTTCTTGGTCACAAATCTGCATTTCCATCTTTTTCCTTTGTTGGTATGGTAACCTGTTGGAGAATATACCCCATCTATACCTGGGGGAATCTATTCTTGTCGCTTTGTTTTCCATGCTATTCCACTGAAAGTCTTTTGTTTTGAATTAAGGTGTCTTTTAAATATTAACGCATCACTGAAGACTTAGGTGTTAAGTCTACCCACATCCTAGGGCCCTCTTGTAAGAGGATTCTCAGAGGTCACTTTTGAGTTCAGTGTTATATTCAGGATTCTGTGTAAACCTCTATGATACTGGGATAAAATGTTCCAAAGTTCCATTACTTTGTGATTCAACCAGAGAAAAAAGTCAGTAATGGGGTCAAAAGCACATTCAAGGAGACCTTTAGTGTGTGAGAGGAGAAGATGAGGAGAGAATACCTGTTTCCACGGTGAATATCAGAGTCTCCTCACTCTCCAGGGCCCTGCTAAACCTGAAGCTGAGGGTGAACCTCTGGCCCCTCCTCACCACCATCTCAGAGCCTGGGTACTCTTCAGTGTGGTGAGCACGCGTGTTTTTCTCTTGGTGCCAGTCCACTTCTGTTATTCTGATTGCTGGGAGGTCCAAATGCAGGGGAGGAAAGAAGGGGAAGGTGAGGAAAGAAATGAATCTAAACCTTTAAGAAAATCCCCTCCCCTTTTTCCCTCATCACTTACTGTCTCCTGTTTAATAAGTTGTAGTAGGTACAGAGGAGACTTGGAAAGGACCACTTTCATCTTTTCATATTCAAAAGCCTGTATTGACTTCCCACTGTCTTCAGCATAGACTCTAAGCCCCTTAGCCTGATATTTGAGGCTCTCCCCAGTGTGTCCCCAAGCTCATCTTCCCAGTCTTATCTCAATGAATCCTGTGCTTCAGCCAGACCACTCTTCTCATTCTCCCCCAAACCTTGTACTTTTTTGCCTCAGTAGCTTATGCTGCTATCTTCCTACCACTATCTCCGCTCCTAAGCTGATGAAAAAGCTTAGCCAGGGTGTAATGCAAAGAAGACTGGTCTCATTTCTGGTATTTACTAGCTTTGTGACCATAAGAAAAATCAATTGACTGCCCTGAGCCTCAGTTTTTCCTCATCTGTAAAATGGGGATAATAATCCTTGCATCTATGGCCTGTCTTACAGTGTTGTAAAAACAGAGCTTTAGAAACCACAAGGTGTTATAGAAATGTGAATTTGCTATTGACATTTTTGTTATTATTATCATAATCTTTCAAGTACCTCCTCCTCTTCTGTCTTTGACCTCCCTAGCCCACTGTGATCTCTTCATCCTCTGAGCTCCTGACTCCTCAGGTGAGGTAGGGGGATGCTGAGAGTAGGACAAATCACACACTGTGCAACTCCTTTCCACATCTGTTCCCATACTCACAAAACTTGTATCCTGAGGAACTCTGGCTATAATGGAGGCCCAGGGCCATCATCATCAGAAAAAAAGGTCTAACTGGACTCCCAGAGTGGTAGGTGAGAGTAGGGTGGTCCAGGCCTTCAGTATGAACAAGGAGAATGGGAGAGGTCTTTGAGTGGCTACCTGAGCCTCAGAGGTAGCTCCTTGCTTGTGAGTTGCCTTCCTGAGTCATGCTCCCGTGAGACCCTCCCACTCAGAAGCTCAGGCTGATGACCTTGGGCGCTCTACTATAGCTCCTACCATATTGGTCTATACATGGTATAGTTTTTTCCCCAAATCTATCTTGTATAAAGCCTTTGTGGTGGTTGTTGTTCCAGGTCTAATGGTCTGTGTTCTATGTTCTAAGGTCCCTACTAACTTGAATGTTTATAACATGTGTTCTAGCATCCCTTCCAGGTCTGACAATGATGATGATGATGATGACAATAACAACAATAACAGTTTTCCACCAAGTCTGTCTTGTATAAAGCCTACATGTAACCTATTAAGAATCTTTTCTTTTTTTTCAGTATCAACATTTTTTCCTTCTTCAGGAGATCCTGATTTGAGGAGTGTGGCCCATGTCCTATAATTGAAATAATGTCATATTCAGTATGTGTCTCACTCTTTGGGCTCTTTACTGTTAGGCTCCACTCTGGTTTTCTGTGTGTACACCTTCCCCAGCTGGGCTGTGAGCTCCTTGAGGGCAGGGGACCAGGTCTCTTCTTTTTCTCTCCGGAGTAGGAGCTCAGTAATGCCTTACTGATATGGTATTCAATCTGCATTCTTAGGTCCCTCCCCTTCAGCTCTAGAGGTCTGTGTTCTATGTGCTAAGGTCCTTTCTAGTTCTGGCAGTCTATATTCTAATGTTCCTTTCATTTTTGATAGCTTGTGTTCTATGTTCTAGGGTCACTTCTAGCTCTCGTAATTTATAACATATATTCTAACATCCTTCTAGGTCCAATAGTCTGTATTCTACATTCTAAGGTCTCTTCCAGCTCTGGCGGTTTATATTGTATATTTTAAAACCTTTCCAGGTCTGATAATCTGTGTTTTATGTTCCAAAGTTCTTCCCCACCTTTGACAAACTCTGTTTTTTTGTTTTTCCAGTTTTTGAGTTCTGTAATTTTATGAAACTAAATATCAATGTTCCCTAAAGCCATCCCCTTGCCTTTGACAAACTCCAGTTTCCAGGTACTTTGCCCGGTCCTGGGGCCATGAAACAATCTCTGACACCAGTTTCTCTCATTTATGAATCACTCCTGGAGGGTAATTGGCCTGGAAGGTTAGTTGTAGGGCACTTACAATAGGCTGTGTGCTCCCCTGATCCCCAGTGGCACAGCTCCTGCTCTCTGTCATCCTTCTGCCTTCAGGCTAGTCTGCCCACTCATTCAGCTTAGATTGATAGGGTCAGGGGAGGAGAGGACCAAGGGGAAGGATGAGAGGTGGCAGGAAGGAGAGAGAACGAACATTTGCTTTTCTCCTGACCTCCAGTCTGTTGCCTTCCATCCATCCTGGACAAAGCTGCTGAGCTAAACTTCAAAATGGTCAGCTCTAATCAGGTCACCCTCTTCCCTTTTCATACACACACATACACACACACACACACATAGAGTGAATGGCTCCCCTTGAGTCAATCCACTAGGTCAACTAGTACCTACCGTGTGCCGGGGATTGTGCTAATTAAAACACACTTACTCATAGGATAACGTGCAGACTCCTACTCTTGTCCTTTTCAAGCCCTCCACAGTCTGACCCCAACATACTTATCTACCTTTATCCCCCTTTCTTCCTTAGTAGACATGCAATGATCTGGCTCATCACAGCTCCTGTGTGCTTGACTCCAGAGGGAAGAACTAGGAGGGTATGTACTATTTTCTCCTCTTCTGTGCGAAATTTCACTCATGCCTTTCCGTCCACCAGAAATGCCCCCCGCCGTGCCCCATGCCCAATATTGACATACCCGTTGACATCCTACTCCTCATTTAAGACCACTCTAATGCAATCTCCTCCAGAAAACCTTTTCCTTCCTCCCAGATGGAAGTGATCCTTCCTGCCTTTGATCCCCAACCCCACTCCTGCTACAGTATTATTTCTCTAACCCTCCACAAACACTTAGCACATCCTGCCTCATACTGTAGTTTGTGTGTCTTATTCTTCCCCACTCCCCTTCATCAATCACTATGCAATTCATTAGGACCTCATTCAAGTCTTAGGCTGTGTCTCATTTGTGTCCCCTCCCCCAGTGCTAATCCCCAGCGCTTCCACCACACGCCCCCCCCCCATGTGACAGTCTTGGGCCCCTGCTCCTAGTCAATTTCAGCAAGTGTTTTTTGAGTTTCACTATTGTGAGTCTCTGGGTGGATGGTCTACCTCTTTCTGCCGCTTCCTGGCCACTTGGAACATAGTTGTAGGATCTGAGACCCAAAAGGGTCCTCAGAGGCTATCTATCTAGTTCAATCTTCTCATTTTACAGATGACAAAACCAAGACTCAGGGATTTGCCCAAGGTCACACAGGTGGCAAAGGTCAAAGGCAAGATTTGACTCCAGAACCAGGGCTCTTTCCATGGTGTTATGATGCCTCCCCTGTGGTATTGGGAATTTTTATCTGGAGAAAAGAAGCCTGAGTGAGTGGAGGAGAACAAGTATGGAAGAGAGATGTGACTTGTTCTGCATGATGCCAGAGGGAAGAACTTGGAATAATTAACTCATCATTGAACAAAAATTGGTTAAACGCCTTCTTTGTGCCCAGTAGCACTGTGGTATAGTGGATAAAGAGCTGGTTTTCATGTCAGGAAGAGCTGGGTTCAAATTTTACCTTTCATCTATGTTTGCTGTGGACCCTGGGCAAGTCACTTAACTTTTCAATGCCATGGAGAATTCTCTAAGATAGGGATTCTCAACCTTTTTTATGTCATGGACCCCTTTGGCAACTTGGCTAAGCTAGAATAATGTCTTTAAGTGCATAAAATAAAATATATAGGATTATGAAAGAAACCAATCATGTTGAAGCATATGTATATAATGTATAATGTATAATATATATTTTAAAAGCAAGTTCATGAACGCTAGGTTAAGAAGCTGGCGTATGACTATATAGAAGATGTGGATCTTCTATGTAGGGTGTCCCCAAAATCTTAGCATGGATTAAAGCTACATAGGGATTTGAATCTAAGTCTTCCAACTCTATGTACAATGTTCCTTCCAGTCACTGAGCCATGCTTCCAAAGCTGCGTGCATCATGATCTCTGATTTCTCCTCAGTGATTTATAGACACCTCTATGTTTCACCTGGCATTCTGGTTACAGTGTAACCTTTGCCCTGTGACTGCACTGTGATTTAAAACTACACTAAGACTTTTGGGACACCCTGTATGCATTCCTTGTCATGGAGCTCCATATACAGATGAGATCATAAGTCCAGAGCTCCTCCCCCTCTCAAAAAAGAACATGGAAAGCACTGTGCTAAGAATACAAAGACAAAATGAACAACAGCCTCTCTCTTTGGGGGGGCTTGTAAAGAGGCAGATCTATGCCAAATATGATGAAGAGCTTCAGATCAAAGCCATTAAAACTGGGATAAGCTGCTTTAGGAGATAATGGGTTCTCTAGTCAGTCAATCAATGAGCATTTATTGAGCTCCTACTATGTGCTAAGCACTGGGGATACAAAGAAAGGCAAACAGCAGCCCCTGACCTCCCTGACCTGGGCTGGGGTGAGGTCATTCCTTATCTCCTCTGCCCTAGCAGCAGAGCTGGATTCCCTGGGCAATTTGGCCCCATCCGGATCTCAGAGAATAAAGATCATGCCTTTAGCAAACAGATATTTTCAGGCTACCTAACTTTAGGCCTTTCAAGTTTCCAAAGTCCTTTGATCCTTGTAACCTTTCCCTAGTAACCTGCCTATATAGGCAGGGATTTCGATTCCACATATGTGGAAGCTGAGGATCAAAGACAGTGAGACCTGGAGAAAAGCATGTAGTGGTTGGGCCAGATGATTTCTAGGGTTCCTAAGCTTCTTAGTGCTGTGCCTAAGGTTACACGGCTGAAGGTGTCAGAGCTGGAAGAAGAAGCCAGGACTTGTAGTCCTCTGGCATCTTCACTGTGCCCCAGGGTCTCTGGTGGAATGTGTTGTTTATCTCCTTCGCAGAACTCTCAGCATCTCTACCCTGTCTTGGGCCTCTTTCTGCTACAGCTATCTGTAGAACTATCTTACTGGAAGTGAGTCATCAGG